CCATGGCTTCTAAGTCAGCTCGTATAGCTTCTCTCCACTGAGGATATTTAACGGCTTGATGGTAAAATTATGGCTCAAAAAGGGATGATATGGTCAAGGCAAAGGTTTGGTAAGAAGGTCAAAGAGAATTATAAGCAACATATTTGGATAAAGGATACTCATGATGAGAATGAGAGATGTTAGATGGATTGATGAGTAAGTTGCAGTGATAATCACGGAGGTAAGATGGAGGTTTAACAACTCGTGAGGATCGTCTAGGAGAAATCATGATTGGAGCTTGATGAGATGGAAGTTGGGCTGGTGAATGAGAGGTGAAACGTTCCAGTGAAGAGGAAGGCTCAAGAATTGACTTTGGAATAACCAAATCAAGGAATGGATCAATAGGAGGGTCTAGAGAAGTTAATTGATGAAATGGAAAAACATCTTCATGAAAAATGACATCTCTTGAGACAAAAACCTGTTTAGACTGAATATCGAGTAGTATATATCCTTTAATGCTTGTTGGATAGCTAATAAACACACACGGCCTAGCTCTAGGCTGAAACTTAGTGCGATGAGCCTTTAAAGTAGATGCAAAGACCAAGCAGCCAAACACTCTAAATAAAGAGTAATCAACCTGAGACTTGTATAAGGCTTCATAAGGGGTCTTATTTTGAAGCAACGGGGAAGGTGTCCGATTGATTAAGTAGGTGGCAGAGAGAACACATTCAGTCCAGTAAGTAAGTGGAATACGAGACTGAAAATATAGGGCTCGAGCAACATTGAGTAGGTGTTGATGCTTCCTTTCTACTACAGAATTCTGTGGAGGAGTGTCTATGCAGGAAAACTAGTGCAAAACACCTTGTTCAGAAAAAAAATCAGCAAACACTAATTACTTAGCATTATCAGACCTGAACTGTTTTATTTTCTTATCAAACTGAGTCTCAATCATGTGAAAAAATCTGGGAATTACATGAGCCACATCAGATTTCTGTTTGAGTAAGAAAACCCAAGTGAATCTAGTACAATCATAAACTAAAGTAAGAAAAAATCGATGCCCTGAATGAGCAGTTACATGATATGGCCCCCAAATGTCGCAGTGAATCAAATCAAATGGCAACATAGACATGTTGTTATTTGGAACAAAAGATAAACGTATTTGCTTAGCTAAAGGACATATGTAGCATGGAGTAGAATTGTCCAGCTCGAAACAGTTCAGCCGGTCTTTAAGCAACTCCAATATTTTATGAGATAGGTGGCCAAGCCTATTATGCCATACACGGGCTGAAACTGAATTTACTGAAAAATAGTTGATTGAAATGGAATTGGAGGGTGAACTGGACTGCAAGGTGGTCGAATCAAGAATGTAAAGATCTGTCATCTTTTTACCCCTGCCAATCATCATCTGACTGTTGGCATCTTGGACCAAGAAATGACCAGGAAAGAAAATGACTGTAAGCTGAGAACTAGAAGTAAGGGCACTGACTGAAAACAAATTAAACTTGAATTGGGGAACATATAAGACATCCCTAAGAATTAATCCTGAGTTGAACTTAATATCTCCACTGAAATGGACGCCAATGCTCATATGATTCGGCAAGGTGACAGTAGAATTGGCTATTGGCCTTAGAGCCACAAAAGCATGTGTATCACAGCAAATATGCCTAGAGGCACCAGAATCTACAATCCAGTATCTTGAAGAAGAAAGAATAGGATTGAGAGAAATTGATAAACAAGTACCTGCTAGGCAGAATCTGGTTGATCTGCAAGAGTGGCAGAAGTAACTAAGTCGCTTGAGAGCAAAGCCATCAGCTGCTGGCACTGGTTACTATTGAGATGGTTCAAAAAATCTCCAGCGTTTCCAGAGGCCTTACTGGTTGTATCTGCTGTCCCAAGGTGCGTTGCAACCTGGTTGGCAGATGCTTGAGTAGGTTTCTGATGTTGTTTGAAGCCTGGAGGGTAGCCATGGATCTTATAACACTTCTCCACAGTATGACCATGGTAATTGCAATGGGTGCAAAATGGCCTGTCTCTCATCTGATACTTCTGAGCTCCATTTGTGGACCCTGAAAAATCTTGGTTTCCTCTAAACCGCTTTTGGTTATCATTTTTAACAGTAAATGCCACATTATTGAAATTATCAGTGTTGGAAGTAGTAGAAATCTTCCTTTGGCGCTCTTCTTGGGAAATCAAGGAGAAAACTTTGTTATTGGGAGGTAATGGATCCAGCATCAGAATTTGACCACGAACTTGGGAGAATGAATCATTCAATCCCATGAGGAAAGCCATGATGTATTCCATTTGATAATAGGCATTGAGTTCTTTGACTCCACCACAAGTGCATTTTCCACAAGAACATAGGGGCCTAAAATTGCTTAATTCTTCCCATAAAGTTTTCAATTTTGTGAAATAAACACTAATAGAATTATGTTCTTGACTGTGATTTGTTAAATCACGTTGTAATTGAAAAATCCTCGGTCCATTACTTTGTTGGAACCGATCCTGCTAATCCATGAATTTAGAAGGACTAGGTCATTACCTTCTGGTTTCTCGATAGATCCGTCAATGAATCCAAGCTTGTTCTTGACGGACAACACAATGATCATCGATCTGCTCCAGGAGGCGTAGTTATCTCCGGTGAGTGGTTGTGAGACGAGGACCAGCCCAGGGCTATCAGAGTGATGCAAAAAATAGGGACTTGAAGGATCGTCAATGGCCGATTTCCCTAACCTAGAAGTTTCCATGGAGGATCACCACGAGAAAGTGCGAATCGGAGAAGGGAAATCACCACGAAAGACAACGAATCGGAGAATGCAAGGGTGAATCGGAGAAGAAAATCACCACGAGCAACAGCGAATCAAAAAATGAACAGCGAAGCTTTTTACTTATGATACCATATTGAATATGAGATTATCTCAAGAGAAAAAGGAAGGAAGATGGGATGAAAAATGTGTATTGTATTATTCTCACTTAGTCTGTACAGAGACTACTTCCTTTTATATATCTAGGAAGTACAACAATAACAAAAATAATATTACAACAGAAAGTCTAACAACTTAACAAAAACTGTAACAAAAATTGTTACAAGAAACGTTCCAGCTCAGCATAACTTGGCCATCCTAAAAGAGTTTGAATATATCTTTCTTGTTAAGAGTCATTATTCGTACTCACTCAACTTTATTAGCTTTGTATCTTTCTTGCTGAAATATGGAGTCATTATTTGTACAAACTTAAGTTTATTAATTACGTGTGTTCCGATTCATTTACTTTTTTAATTGTTGTTGCTAGATTTCAAAGTTTTTCTTTTTCGTGTATTTTTTCTTTATTAATAAAATAGAGCGGAAGATTTAATATAGTATAAGTTATATTGCATTTATCTTAAACTAGGTATTTTATCGTAAAATTGGGATGAAAAACTCTATTGTGTGAGTTCTACATCAATTTAGAATTGAAGAACGGATGGACACTCCTAATTTCACTACTAAACTTAAAAACAACTATTTTATCCTTAATTTTACTTTTAAATTTTTGGACAACACCATTCCTCTTTAAAGAAATGCTTTACCTTGACTGTGCTGGCAGGGTTTAAAATTGAGAAAATCTAAAGATTTTTCTCTTAGATTACTTCATTTTTTTCTTTTTGTTTAGTTTGCATTTAGTTTGTTTTTCCTTCTTTTTTTCCTTCCTTTTTTTTTTTTTTTTTTGGCAATGTTCCTTTCCTTTTCTTTTTAATAATTTTTTCTGTCTTAAAGAAAAGGGAAAAAAACATTGGTGCTTCATTCCTATGGTGAGGGTAGCTCCAAAAGGACTTAAAAAATATATATATATATTAGTTATGGATTGTTTTGCTCGGATTTAGATGTCTTTATATTGAGTTGTATTTATCTAACCCTCTCTCTCTCTTTCTTCTTGTCGAATTCATATAATGCTAAGGTTTACCTAATTTTAACCACAAGGTTGATCTAAACTTTGTCAAACTTTTGAGATTTTAGGTTTGGTAAAATGGTATCGTTGCACTTTTAGTGTGGACTAAACTTTGTTAAAAGGGAGGATTCTAGTATGAAATAAAAAACACAAGAGATTGCTAGCTGTAACATACCTAAAAACAGATAAAATACCTAGAAGATATATAT